GGGGGGGGGGGGGGGGGGGGAGAGGTTCGTTTGCTAAGTTCTGTAATTAATACGAAGTCGTGGAAACTGCTTTTTATCAACGAAAGCTGCCAAGCTATAGAAAACCAGTCACAACTCGTTTTCACGCGTTCTCTTTTCACTGGTCGCTTGTTTTCCCGCGCTTTCTACTGGTTATACGTTTTCCCGCTCTTTTCACCAGCCGCTTGTCTTCCCGCGCTTTGCACCGGTCATACGTTTTCCCGTTCTTTTCACTGGTTGCTGTTTTCCCGCGCTTTAAACCAACAACTTCTTCCCACCGCTTTAAACCGGTTGCACATATGTTCCCGTGCTTGGCACCGTTTACCTGTTTTGCTCCGAGTTCCAATAGGTTCTTTGCGCTAGTTTAATTTGTTACGGTTGAAAGTCTGAAATGTAAACATTAAGGTTGCGTTTTAACCCTTACATGTTACAATCTCCTCTTTCTCATTTACTGTCTCCCCAGGCTTACTCCTGCCTTGCTCACTCTCCTCAGTCTCCTCCTCCACGATCCCTTTCAGCTCTGACGTCGGTGTAGACGCTCGCCGGTTTCCAGAATTCTGATACAAAACACGGCATTCAAAACATTGCAAAACATTGCAAAAAAGATGTTTTACCATCTGCTAGCCCTGACCACCTTGAGAGAACTGGATCTGGTTTAAATCACACGCTCGCACATTTTTCTATTCTTTTCATTCTGTAGGACGAAGAATTGCACTGGTGTTGTCGGTTCACCACTGACCGCTTCCTAGAAGACACGTGCGACAAATGCTTCTCAACGCATCGGAGAAAATGAAAATCAGAAGCTCGTGATGGTAGCAAGAAGCAGATTGAGCCGTTTAATGGGCTAGGTCATTGTATTTGAGATAATTCTGTTTATTTTCGTTAAGTATGAGTTCTAAACGTCAAATTTACAAGGTACCAATCTTTTTTTTGGTAAAATCAAGACAAAGACAGATGATTTCGTAGCGCGATAAATGAATTTTTCAAACAAATTGAGATACACTTGCAGACGTTTTCAAGTTGACTCCATTGCCATTTGTGTTAATCTTCTCTAATATGGTTTTTCAGTGTTTCTTTCAAATTCTTCTACAGTTTTCAGCCGTTACCGAGAGATGTGACCATTCTTGAAATTGGCCAAAAATTGTACCCCTCCTCTTCAGCATCAAGAAATTATGGGAGAATCTTTGTTCACATTAGCATAAGCGATACAGTTTTCGATGGAGCTACAAAAACATTAGTTCTGAATATTGAAAGGGCACAGCACAATTAACAGTCTTCTCTGCGCAAAGTCGTATGAGGAAATTACGTAACCAATGACGTCAGCAACGATTCTACTCTATGCACCAATCACGTTTTCTCCAGTCCATGCTATCGACCATGCTTACTCCACAAGTAAACTTCACTTCAATAAACTCACCTTAGAGGACTGCTGTGAGTTAGATTTGTTTTCGGGGGGTTCGGATTCACTGCTCGATCTTATTCGTATAGTCGGCTTGGTTTTCGGGCCGTCCTTCGTGCTAACGAACATCCCTTCGCTCAAGTCCCCGGCGAAACTCTCCGAAGTCAGCGACCTGTCACGCAGGCTCAACATGTTGTCCTGACCAATAAATGAGAGACTCGGCCCAGGTCGCATCTCGGCCGGTGTGGGTATGTACGCGGGGCCTTGGGGCGGGTTGATGCCCATACTTCGAAGCTGTTGATCAAGGCTTTCTTTCTCTTTTTTCATCAGTTCCACGTCCTGCAACATAATTAGATTATTGTTTAACTAGCGCCTTACATCAGGCTGGCGCGCCTGAAATTTAAATTGACCAATCAAGATTCAGCAGGCGGGAAAAACTGTACTGTCCTGGCGTCAACGTATGCTAAGAAGAAAAGCATGGCATTTAGGCCACTTTTCCCACAGGAGACGGCATTAGATATTCACGAAATGGGATTTGCAATTCCAAAAACCATACCAGGTTGTGCCTCCAAGCTTCTAATTTGGCGCCAAAAATGGGTTGCCGGCGTCCAGCAACTCACTCGTAAAAGGCGCTTTGCACGATCCGGTCACATGGTACGAAATTAATTAAGCTGGGACGCAAGTTACACCGTGGGATTTCCAAAACAAACGAACTCACATCAGTCCAGCGCGACTTTCCTTTGTTTTGAAAGTCCTACTGTGTAACTTGCGTCCCAGCATAATTAATTCTGTACCATGTGACAGGATCGTGCAAAGGGCCTATTCCTGGCGTGTCGCCAGGTAGGAAAATAGTTATGTTATTCTGAACAAAAGATCTTGTCTCGCGTCGAATTAAACCAAGAATTCCCAAGTTAAGTATTAGAGGAGGCCAAAGAAACTTTAGGATTGTCTCCGAAGAAAAAGACTTTTAACGCGTGGTTTCGGTAGAACAGCACGGTTTTGACTGCCGCCTTACTGCGGACGCAGTCACCGTATGCAAGGCGCGCATTTTACATCACAGTCTTTGCCAATTTTCAACCGCCATCTACCTGTAGCAGACAGGGCTGTTCGACTCTCGCAAAAGCGTTTGATGACATCACCTTTGAGGCTGCAAAACACAGCGAAGAGACACTCATATAATCTTCACTTTACAAATTTTCATCTGGAAATGACGGAAACATCGGAGTAATAACGAGGTGATAAACGCCACCTCAGAGTGTGGCTACTTGATCGGCCGAGAGGTCTGGAAAACCACTAGAACGGGAGGCACCGGTATAAAGCGGTTTTCATTTGCGTGACGGGAGTTACTTGGTTTTGCGTTACCACGCTACACCATTGGCTAAAAAAAATTGCGCCACTTTGCCATCCAATCAGAAGTAAAACTAAAATCAATCTTGATTCTCTCGCACACGTCTCCCCCACCCCTTGCGTCAGCTAAATGTATTTTACTTCGAGTTTTGATTGGTTCATTGGATTGTCTGTGTCCTTGTGATTGGCCTAATGCCCTCCATAAACACATCCAATAGCTCAATCAAAAAGATATATGTACCTTAAGATGTGACAAATGGTAGTCCAACATCATTCGTGCATTAGCGATGCATTCTTTTGTTCCAACGAACAGGAATGAAACTTCTTTCTAAAAACAGAAAAAAAAAAAACATCAGTTTAAATCAAGATGATTTTCGCGCTCGTCACCGCACTTCGGTATCAGTTTAGAAGTTTTCCCGCGTTTATCACCCATTGCATGTTTTCCCCCACTTGTCACACGCTTCACGTTTTCCCGCGCTTGTCACCCACGCTCAATATCGTAATTTCTGCTTCTTGATTGGTTTGTTCGAATCCTTCAGTTTCTTGTGATTGGCTGGATTTGGTTGAAAGACACTCATTGTAAAATTGTCCTAATGCGTAGGTGAAGAGAGCTGCCATAAGATGTGGATAAGCTCCAGTTTTCTGCCAAAATCGCACAAGAAAATAAACAAAACCAAACCAGGGATTAAAAATATTAGGTTATCTCCTAGTTGTGCAGTTTTTAAGTCGGGAGTGAAGAAGTTTTTAAGTGAGGAATGAATATTTGATTTAATTTTTTTTTTCTTGATTGTTATTACATGATTATTTATTTAGATTAGCTACATGGTGATCTGTCTCGCATGGAGTGTTCCACTCTTTTACAGATTATCCTTAAGGCTTTGCCTGTTTGTGTATGTCTTTAGACTTAGATTTAATTGCCATTTAATTGTAATAAATAAATAAATAAATAAATAGATACCTTAGAAGCTTTTTCTTCCATGGACGATCTTTCCTCTGGTGGTTCAATCTTGACACGGGTAACGCCTGAGCGATCCACAATATCCTGTATAATACGACCACTCTTTCCTATAACTTTGCCTGTGACATGTAATAATAATCCATGTAAGTCTTTCAAAGTTATTCATGACCGTGACGGTGATTAGATATCTCATCTTAATAAGTATAAATTCTTTCAGTTTTATCTCTCCGGTTTAATTTCACTCTAAGTTTCACCCCAGAAGATATATCAAAGATTCCACACAGTGTTAAACCACATTTCCTAACACCTTGAAGTTTGACCAAAGTACTTCCCTACACGTCTTTTTTTCAAATCTCTCCTCGTTGTTTGGAAATCTGGAACTGGGTTGCGTTACGTTTCGTATCGTTTGGGTTGTCCTAATGGCCAGAATGCCGGAAACCTAGGAACCTGGTAATCCAAAATCCCAAAAACTGAGAACCGGAATTATCCTAAACCTTGGTTTCTGGCAACCTGAATTTCTGGCATCTAGGACCACAACCCCGTTGCATTGCGTTGCGTTGTGTTGCGTTGTTCCAACTGTTCCAGTGATCATTGATTAATCAAAGACAACAAACCATAAATTGTACATAAATTTCAAGATATTACTATGGTAGTTATAGGCTTTTGTTAGTTTTTGTAATGTGCTTTCTTATATTTATGTTTTTATTTTTGTATATATCTTATTATTGTGTAATCTATGTTAGGTAAAAGCTTCATGGCTCCTACTGACAGCAGAGATGCTTAGTAAGCTCCCTGAAGAGACAACCCTGAAAATTTTAACTTTAGATTTTTACTTTTAAGTGAAGGTGTCTATCTATCTAAAGACAATGTGGAAACATTGGCCCTTTTTTATCTGAGGGAAAGATATCTAGATAAAGACTCTCTTGTAAAACACTCAATTTTACTGAACGTTAACGCAAGTCAGGGTTTCGACATTCCCAACCTTACCTACAAGCGGTCTGGGCACATAAACAGTTTCTTCCGCAAACTCCAATAACCTTCTGGCTTCCTTAACAGTTGCTTCACTCTAAACATAAACACAACCAGGTTAACACGAGCTATCAACCTGCCCACTCTACTAGCCCCCCCCCCCAACCATTCCCCACCACCTCCTCCCCCCCAAGAAAAAGAAAGATGGACCTCTTGTAGGGTAGTCATTTCTTTGTTAACAACTGCACAGCTAAATCGAGCTTGGCTGTGTGAAATGTCCAGGAGCGTCCACTACTGTCAGCCATCTCCTAGAGGAATAATTCTCTTGCGGCTGGCAAATCCTGGCAACCCAGCCCCCACGCAGACGGGGACAACAACAACTTATCATACTGATAAAACAGTGGAACGAGTGAGAGGGAAGTGGAGGACCAGCCTATGAGAAGAGATCCCACGCCCAATAAAATGCTCACTCTGATACAACGCACTTTCGTGAAGAGCACTTGGAATCCTGGTGCATACATGTGCATATCTAAACCCCACTGACTGCAAAGATAAGACTGGTGCTCTTTGTTGAAGACTCCTTAAAATCACATTTAAATCCCTATAAACCTTGACTAGAAAGCTTTTCTTTCCAAGATCTTTCACTTATATGTACAAAAAATAAATAACAAAAAAATAATTCGTGAACCTCCACATTCTTCTATGGCATACATGTACTCACATCTCCGCAAATATGGAACGTACAGTTTTCCTCATCAACTTCAATAGAGATAATTCCAGCCAGTCTTCTGGCCTGTTGTATATTGGCACCCTGAGCACCAATGGCAAGACCCATCAGATGATCTGGCAAAGTCAGCATGTCCACCACACCCATCTGTTTCTTTGCCGTCTGGGAAGTGATGAGAAAAAAACAGGCACCACAAAAAATAAGGAACTTCATTCAATACAAAGGCTTCTATCATCTGTCTGATAAATATGGTACAGTGCCTGCCTTTGTTAAAAGGATTATCCATTAGTGCAGGAATGATTCAATGGCTAAAGGGTAATTATAGTATGTTCCAGCCAAAACTGGGGAGCTCTGTATCAAACGCCCAAGCTCCCCCCCCCCCCCCCCCCCCCAATTTTCAGCGCATGTTTAACATTAAGCCAGTTTCCACAAAGAACGATATCAAATTGTTAATCACATAGTAAATGGTTTGAACCCAGGAGTATCAGTAGTTCGTATAGTGTGATCGTCCGGGTGAGTGTAGTTCTGAAAAGAACTGTTGTTAGTGACTGAC